AGTCAATGAATGACCATTTTTATGTGGATCATGCTCATTTGGGCAACCTGCACCTACGTTTCTCAATATTTTCTGACATTCCTTGGCTTGTTTGCTGAATGCTTCTTTTAAATCTTTGATCGTTTCGATTTGAAAACCTGTCAGCTGTTTAAAATTGTCAGTACATGCTATTTTTACAGTTCTTTTTAAACCCTTTTACCACTGTCTACATCATTTATGTCTTTTGTGTCACTAGTAACATTATCATTTTGTATGTCTTTTCCTGCATCTTTCCTTAAAATTACATCATTATTGTCATTGAAACAACTGTCGATAAGTTTTGCTAAATCATCATCGTCTAAAATTACAGTATCATCATTTACAGTTGATGGGGCATGTTTTTAGCATGCTTGGTAAAAGTGTGGCTCACAACTGGCCACGTGATACAAATCACAAAATTCCCCATTACCAGTGTATGTATTATTATTAACTTTCTGTGATTACCCCAAGCAGCATTCCAGCAAAATGTCAACGTGTATTGAATATAACAGTAACAAGTCTCCTAGCTGCATTTTAATTAATACCCGATGCATGACAGCAATCAACAAAGACTTGTCAATATTAGAAGCAACTTTCAATTGCTTTTGTACTCCTTTATTTTTAGCAAGTTTTTTTGTAATTACTGCTATGTATCTGTTCTTTAGATCAATTTTTGGTTTGGCTAGATGGCATCTAGCTCTTCTGCTTTGTCTTATTTTTAGAAGTTTTTCTTATAATATGCACTGTTCTTCTGCTTCTTTTGCACTATTCATGCTATGATTTTGGATCTCTTCTTAGCCGATACACTTCTTGTTGGTGGATTCAAGTTACCATTATTTCTATATTTTTTTCTTAGCTTTGCATTTTTAGTGTCAGCCACAGCAGCATAATGGTGTCTGGCATTATCTTTTATTTGCTGACTGTGAGAGGCATAATACTCATTCATTTCTTTTTTTCCTTTCTTCAAAATTAGAAGCATAATTATCCTTAAAACTTTGTAACAGTTTTTCATGATTAGCAATATAATTTTTTTTCAACTTCTCTAATCTCTCATCACAATTAGCAATATAGTTATCATTTAATGCCTCTAATGTCTCTTCATAATTAGCAATATAATTGTCTTTAAATGCCACTAATCTCTCTTCAAGGCAAGAAGCATGACAATTTTTTGAGTAATCTGATAATTTGTGTTTATTTGAGCCATGATATATTTTTTAGAATAATCTAACACTTTTTCTTTATTCATGGTACTATATTATTTTTAATATTTTTTTACAAAATCTAATATTTTTTGTTTTATTATGGCATGGTACTTTCTAGATTTTGCATGGTTTTTGTCACGATTTTCATAATAGTCTTGTTTCGACTTATCCCTTTTTTTACCTGTGTCTCTCCAAAAATTCTCATCGGATGTACCCCACCAGGTTTAGTCATTTTGTTTCTGAAGCATGTGGCGGTCAAGTATCAGACTTCTTGAATCAGGACATATGATTATGACAGATAGGGGCTTTGATATTCAAGAGGTAGTGGCTGCTAAAGGAATTCTGTTGAATGTACCTTCTCGCTTGGGATCACAGAAGCAACTAAGTGCCTATGATGTTGAGAAAACAAGACAGATTGCTAAATACAGAATTTATTGGCCTCGCTCAGCTTTGCGTAGGCGAGGACTAGATACTCGGTTTGTCTGTCTGTCATTCATTCATTCTGTGTGCTTTATTTTGTCTTTAAGTATGTATATCTTTGCAATTGCATACTCTAAATCTGAGTGAACTTCTCTTCTGCTAGGAAAAGTCTTGCTTTACTGCCTTGAGATGTTTAGAGAGCAGCTCTAGCTAGTAGAAGCTTTTTAACTAATGAGAAAATGCTCAGCTATAGCGGTAGTATTCTGGATGTAAATGAGACTCTTTTTCAGTACATCAAGACTAGTTATTGTTTTAATATGTGTGGGACTCTAAATCTTTCTTGTTAGTGAGTTATTGCTTCTTGAGTTTCAACCCGAGTGAACTGTAGGTAGTCTAAATGTCCTAAACTCTCTCAAATCACATAATTTACATCTAGGCAACAGTATTTGTGCCATTGTAATGTCATATAGAGCTTATAAGAAGAAAAAAATCTAAAACTTCCTTCTTGTTGCAGGGCTTACTGCCATCAAATAGTTAATAGTTGATGATGTCATGCCACACCTCCAATTTCGGAGTAGCTACTTTTGCAGGCATGCAGTCTGGTTTGTTTTTAGGATGTGTATCTTTAATAGAGACCACATCAAAAGCTGTGGTTTTGCAACCCATGATGCTATTTTTAAAATAAGAGTGTATAAATAGTTGATAAAATCCAAGTGTTAGTTGGACACATCACAAAGTTTTGGAGAGACTCCAGAGTCGCATCATGCTTTTCACACTTGCCCAGAGTGTCACTTTTGATCTAAATGTACAGGTGTACTTGCAGGTCAGCTTGGCTAGCTAAGCCTAACACTTCCCAATCAACTATAGGAGCGAGGCCACGCACCTTTGGTGTCTCATATTGAACGAGTGATAGGAAGAGGTCATCAATATAAAATATTGAACCAATTGTTTTCCAATCTAATGGGTGATTTAGTTGGTGATGTCAATCCAGTTTGTATGTATTTGACTAATTTTGATGTTCCTCTTGTAGGATATTAGTTCTGTTTATGCATACCCTTTCTCTCTATTCCCATTCCCAATATCTCTCTGTTATGGTTTAAATGTATTACATACATGTATTTAAAACTTATTAGACTATCAAATTTATGAAGAGTAAGTGAGTGTGTGTATTTGACTGTAAATGAGTCCCACGGTAAAACGAAACGAGAAACAGTTAGTTGACAAAAATAATTATTAGCACTTTTATCATTAATAATTGGAATGTATAATGTGATCCAATTACTATTACGGTACATGTACAGTCATATGTATAATTATTTCATACCATTACTAAACTATGACTAATACTGTAGCACAATGTAATTTTTACAATTACATAATACATGTACATTCACAGTACTTCCCAATCCTCATGTCTTTTACTATCTCTACCTCCCATCTCTAAAGACAATTTAATATTGTAATATTAAATAGTGTATTCCTTAAAAATTTTTCCTGATAAAATTTCTGGAACAATACTGTTTGCAATAAAATTCATCAATAATCTCCTGTAATTTAGTCCAGCAATCAAAATCCATAACAATATGATCAAAAATTACTGTATCTTTACTATAAACAACAAAGTCACACCAATCAACATTGAGAATGGCCATTTCCCCTTGCACTTGTGTATAGTGTGAATGATTTCTACGTAAACTGAGCAAGCCATTTTCTCCTCTTTGTAGCACAAATACATCTCCATACTTGTCTGCAATTTCATCAGGAGTAAGAGATATTGTAAGAAATCCATCTATGCTGTATGGGCACTTGATTTCTATGCACCCAATGCACCCAATGCAAATATCACTTCATTGCGAGTTATTCATCAGATAATGCTCCTAAGTATGCCTTTTCTGGTTACAATGACAAACCTGCTTGCTCAAACATCTCTTCTCCAATCAAGGTAACATTTAAGGTAACATTTAAGGTTTAACATTTAAGGTTTCATGATAACATTTAGGTGCGCTAGGCTCATTGTCTCTTCCCCATAGAATTTGTGGTGAGAAATATTTGGAGTATTCTTTTTATATCCCATTACATCTTTAACAATTCTTTGAGAGTCAGTTAAATGTCTTCGATGAAGTATTTCCCCAAATCTGGAACTAGTGATTCTTCCATTATACAATGCATGCCACAAATTGCTTCTAGCCTGTTCACGAGTTGCAACCTTGATTTGATTAACTTCTTCCTGAGAAAGTGTAATAGACTTTAAGTAGTCACAGCATTGTCTAATACTTGGGACTATAAATTCCTTCTGGAAGTTGATATACTTTTCATAACAGAAGATAACATGAATCCACAAATTTGAATGAGGTTGTTCACTGTAATGTGTTGGGCTATTCTCCCAGAACTGCTTTAAGCCTGTGGTAGGTACAATGTTTTTAATATCTCCCAAAACAATTATGAGACTATCTGGATCAAGTGTTCTATGAAGCATTTGCCTTACCGTATAGCTGGAAAAGTTTGCGGGAATTATATTTAGCGATTTTGTACTAATTTTAATGTTTATGGAATTTAATTTTGCTGGTGTAGGCGTGCACAGTTGATACACCGATTACTTATAATGCTTTGTGGAATTAAATTGTGAGTTTTTATGATGAAACAGCAAAATTAAATTCCAGCAAATATTTCCAGCTATACGGTATATCAAATTTATGTGGCTTGTATATTCTCATTTTATTATTGTCTTTTATGTCCCTATGACTAGGCTTTACAATGTTCATATCTTTTGCACGAGCTGGACTGACTTCCTTTATAGGAGGCTGATTCCAAGCCATTGGTTGAGATGTCTTCGACACCTTTGTTGGTAAGCATTCCTGTCCAGTACTCACATAATGCTCAATGAAAAACAATAATGCAGCTACATGATTACATGCTTGTCCTTACCTAAAAAATGTTGGTTATATTTGCAATTCATTTAATTTAAACTTACCCTGACACACAGTTGCATTTTGCAGAATTTACATCTCCTTTGTAACTTTTGCAAAAGCTTTGTTCATGTCTTTTTGCAGGAACTGTGAAACTATTGTTGCTAAATTGAATGGGACATGGCCTACAATTTGGCCCACCTTCATGACTGCAACTGCTCTTCTGTCCACAGAAATAGTTGGTCCTGTGATTAATCTTAACATTTAATCTCGAAATGGAGTGCACTATGCATATATGCATGGTATCCTTGGATGAATAAATCCATAGTAAAAGCTTCGACGTTAGCAGATGAAACCACCTGACTAGCCTTGGTTTGATGAATCAACAAACATTCAGTTACGTGATAGATTAATGAATACTAGTTGAGTAGTGTTTGAAGCAGCTGTACACTAGATGGCCTCTGAGTCATACAAAGAAAGAGTGTATTTGACCTTAGAAAAGAAAGTTATGCTCATAAGACATGCCCAAATCCATACTGGCCACTCATTACAATTGCTGGAAGCAGGGTTTGGATGTGGAAAGACACAGATAGGCAAAATACTAAAGAATAAGTTCTCAATTCGGGATTTGTATCAATCTAATGCATCCAGTAGCTGGGTTTACTCCATTGGTAAAGCTAGAAGCTCTGAGTAATGTGAGATTAATGATTTCCTCTACATATAGTTTAAGCTTGCAACATCAAAGAATATCCCTGTGGGAGGTCCACTGCTTATTGAGAAAGCTAAAATGATAGCAAATGCGTTGGGCAAGTTCAATTTCAAAGGATCACAGGGATGGCTTGAGAAATGGAAAGAGATTTGCTATCAAGCAGTTCAATTGTTGTAGAAATGGTCATCTCTGATCATGAGAAAGAAATGGAGCTAAATAGAAGGATGCTACTTCTTATACTGAAATGTATTTAATATCTTGTTCACCAAGGCTTAGCTTTAAGAGGCAGTAACGATCAGATGGAAAGTAACTTCACTTAGACTCTAAAAGTTGATGATGAAGTAAAACGGTGGCTGCTAAAAAAGACAGAGAAGTACACTAGTCCTGATATCCAGAATGAGATGCTGAAGTTAATGGGAATGTGCCTGTTACGTAAAATAGCAGCAAATATTCAAGCAGGTGTGTTCTATACAATTATGTGTGATGAATGTACTGATGCAGCAAATAAGGAACAGTTAGTGATATGTTTAAACAGTAAGTTCGGTCTATTTTTGGTGAATTTTTTTTATTGGCTTAATATGATTGCCTGACCATAATAATGATGTATTCCAACTCCCATTGTCTAAAAAAAATTTTTCACTTAGATATGAGCCTTCAATAATGCTCATTTTTATTACTTCCTGTCGGTGGGTGTGGCTAAATGTGACGTCACTAGAGGCATGGATGGAGATAACTCCATTCCTTTATAGGGAGAAATAATCCTTTATTCTCATGCCTAGTAATGTAATAGCACTAATTTAAAGATTGGGATCATTAGCTTTCATTATTCTAAGCATGCAACTGCAAGAAAAAGACTGAAAATAGCAAACAAGAAAATTTACCTACTTGTAATATTATGAGATTTTCTTGCAGTTGCATGCTTAGAATTATGATAGCTAATGATCCCAATCTTTAAATTAGTGCTATTACATTACTAGGCATGAGAATAAAGGATTATTTCTCCCTATAAAGGAATGGAGTTATCTCCATCTATGCCTCTAGTGACGTCACGTTTAGCCACACCCACCGACAGGAAGTAATAAAAATGAGCATTTTTGAAGGCTCATATCTCAGTGAAAATTTTTTTTTAGACAATGGAAGTTGGAATACCATAGGCGTAGGCAGGGTCGGGCATATAGGGGCAATGCCCGACCTGACTCTGTGAGCTGACCTGTGGGCAAGGGCAGAAGCTTGGGCAAGGTGGTTGGGCAAGACTGAGTGTGTCACTGTGTGTGAGACTGTCAGACTATCATTACCACAGGTGTAATTGGACACTGGAACTATACTGTCAGTCTGTGACTGTCACTTAGCCTAAGGAGTGAGGAAGAAGCTGAGAGAGCCAGAGCTCTAGCAGCAGCCATTTTATTTAAGTTATGAATTATGATATCAAGTTAATTATTAGTGACGCCCAAGTTAATTATTGAAATGGCGAGCAAACGTCAATCTTCCATGCTGTTTGCACCTATATCTTTTACATATAGAAAGAGATTTGCCTTCCAAGCTCTGGGACTGCTTAAACGAGGTAGTAATCAAGTTTGCTGTCTCTCACAAGAACTCCAGTGATCATCCTCCTCATCCTCTG